ATGTCGCTGCGGGACAGAACAGGCCCACATAAGTCAGCCAGCAGCCTGGAGGTGAGCTCTCGGTGACTGGCTTTGGCCTCCAGGGCCAGAGACACAGCCAGTGAGGGCACCTCACTCCGCATGGGCCCCAGGTTCAGTTCTGCGAGCAGCTCCTGGATATGGAAAGAGGTGTTAACTTGGCATGGATTGATGTCTTCACGCAAGTGTATGGTCTCTAAATGAATTTTACTTTTCACAGGCCGTTTCCTGCATGATGATGTGCCACTTACTGCTACTTCATTTGTGTCGCCATGTTCAAAGTACTCTTGCACTATGGGGGTGACTGTCTTCTCAAAGTCCCTCTCATCCAGTGGGGGGACCACAGTCTCATACACACAGTTTTCCTGTCAAAACACAATCATGTTCCAGGTCTAGTGTTTTTGCCAGTGCTACATTAATACATTTTTTTTCTTATTTTATCCTCTGATAGAAAATACATACATACAATGTGATTCAATTTAATACAGCAGTGCTACAATCTACACCTTAAAAAATTACCACACAAGATCCACAAAATTAAACATAAGCTCCACATAAGAAATGTTAATTGCCTCTGTATTGGATTTTATAAGTGATAGTGCTGATCAAAACACTCAAAAACACAACAGTTATTACCTGAGCTTCATCATAGTTGGGGTCTTTCTCATCTACCGCCTCCGGCTCATAAACTTCACCAGATCGGCCCCAGACGCCTTTGCCTCCAGCCCCACCTGCGGACAAAGGTCAGTGACAATGCAATACATGACATCTGACAACTTCACAAGCAATCATGTTAAAGCAATATGGCGGTGTCTTTTTCATGGCCTACATATCTTGGTAACCTCTGTTTCACACAAAGTTCACAATTCATGGTTACTAAGGAAAGAAAGTGAAGTAGCAGCTTTAGGGAGCATTAGAGGCTCTTCACATGATGTCCCTGATATACAAGCGTTAAGTCACGTATCAAGCTGTAGTGTAGTGTATCAAATGTACAAGTTTTGAGAAACAGAAACAGAAAGATAGTGTTGATCTATACCAATAAAATATCTTGCATTTCATCAAAACATGTTTTAACATCCGTCAGATTAAAAAGCTTTTCGTTGAATTCCTTCTTATGAATGACTTAGGCTAAAATGCCCAAATGCCCACTAAAAACTAGACCAATACAAATCCTCAACAAATTTTTTGAATTCACTCACTAAGAGCCTGACTGCCCCTGTGCCGTTAGAGGGCTGGGGCTCCATAAGCTATTTTGTTGTCTTCAGCTACAAACATCAGAGACATCCAGATTGTTTTCAAATATGCATGATACTTTTTTCATCCAATTCATTTTCATTTTTCCATTATAGGCCTTATAGAGTCAAGTCTCACCGATTTGTTTTCAAGTTTTGGTACAGTTCACGCACACACACGCACACACAATCTGACTTCCTTCTTTCAAACAGGAACTCTCAGCTATAGTTTATAACATACTTTATACTATTATACTAATACTATAGTTGTAATGTTACCAATGTTAATATGGATCATTATCTTTGTGTGTGATCTCTACCAATCCCCATGCAAATTTTTTTAACCCAAGGACCCAACATGCTGAGATATAATCCCTCTATTTAGGGAGGTGAGACCTTTGTACATGTTACACAAACAAACATCTGCTGGGCCACCACTAACAGATTGCAGACAGTTTAAGAAGCCCAATACCAAAGCAGCTTGTGTGTCATGCATTAAAACCCCCATTAGTCCCACCCAGTATGTCACATATAACATACCACTGTATTTAGCACAGGCCACACTAGTTGTGAGAACCCGTCCTACTTCAGCGTTAAAACATGGTATCCACTAGTTTGCGCTCACCAGAAAGATTCTGCACATCCACTCTATTTGTCTTTCAAAACTGCAATGCATGAACTTTTTATGCAGGAGAGCTCACAGCTCAAATTACAGGGCACCACTGGCATGACAGCTCTGTTATGTAACCAGAAAAACGGATGCCAAGAGAAACTACATTTGCTCCAGTTTTACTGCCCCTGGGAAAAGCAAAGTAACTAAACTGTACTTCCTTCTGCAGGGACATATAACTAGACACTGTGTGCTTACATCACTGAATGAAGACCCGCAGTGATAGACAGCTCGACTATCACAAGATGTTGACACACTTATACCTTTCTGATGTGTTGGTGTTGGGTACAAAAGACAATTTGAGGCAAAGGAGAAAGCGGGTCATAAGAGCTATCTATGGCTTGATATAAATATTGGATAAGGAATCACAGAAATGCATTATGCAACATTTTCAGCTGAATGCCTGATGCTTTATCAGTGGTGTCACACACAATAACAAAATCTATATCTATAGCTATCACTGTGCCCTGGCACACTGATCGTCTAACAACAACACAATGAGAGATGACACATCAAAATCAAACACAGGCAAACAAATGATCCCTAAACCTCGTGTAACTAACACCAACACCACTTAAACTTAACACAATGATTTAACTTCTAATGGAAATTTCCAGAAAAGCTTGGCTGAGCAGATGGCACGAAAAGAAAACCATGCTTTTAAATGAGCATGCACTGCTCAAGATCACCCAGCCATTTGTTTACAAGCTAATTGGTTTATGGCTACAAGATGGAAAGCCACCAGGTGATGACAACAGTAGGTCACACAGTGATGAAGGCATTCTTCCTTTTGAAGTACTGGGCACCAACACCAGTGGCTCTTCAATTAACTTTTACTCGCCTGTGGTAATGACCAGCAAAAGGTTACCCTTTGAAATTCAAGAGAAACTGATACATTTGGTCTACTTGGTGTAGACAGGTAACATGATAGCACAAAATTATCCTACTGTTAACTGCACTGACTCAAAATGTCAAGTCCTCTTACCTTTCTTTGGTAGGCCTCTGCCCTTTCCCAGTCGGGATTTTCTGTCCAGCAGCTTGCTCTTGGGGCTGGTGGGTGCCGCAGAGGTTCCCCTGACAACGTCCCCATTATCACTGAGGGAGTCCCCCCTGCCTGAGTCCCTGGAGGAGTTCTTTCTCAGCCTCCGCTTGGCCTTCGCCTTTAGGCGTGCCTCATGGATGCTGTTGCTTGACGAGGACAGCCAGTTGCCATTGACCTCATTGTTTATGTTTTTGTTGGCAATAGCCGATCTGCCATTGTCTTCGTCTCCAGATGCAAACGAGTCACTCAGGTCCTCAGCCTCTGTTGGATTACAAGCAAGGGCTTATGTTTGAGCTACCAGACAATGAGCTTTTATGTGCAGAACAGATCAAGGAGACTAAAACTGATACAAACATTTATACTTGTTTGTGTGAACCATGTGTAAATACAAGATAAGATAGTTTATGTCAAAAGAAACTATACTAATAATCTATTTCTATCTGTAGTCACTCACTAACTGTAGGATGAGCAGCAGAATAAAATCAATGCCAAATGCAACATCACTAAACCTGCAGGCAGTGAAAATAGTACCAGTGCTCCACATCAGATACAGCTGATGGAACATTTAAATCGCTGTGACAGACTTACACTTACCAACAGGGTTTGCGTTCAGCCAGGCCTCGCAATCAGTTGCCATGTTTAACAGTAGAAAATAGATTTTGCAGCAGCACAACGTGCAAAAAAATAGTTTCAAATGATACCTGCAATATAGAAGAAAAAACAGAAATTTAATAAGCAGACATGCGTTGATAATATGCCCAGACTTGCTGCAACGCAACAGCTTCCCCTCCCCCTATTCATTCAAAGTCACAGTGTTGATAAACAATGGCTGACGCTGCGTTAGCTTGAATGTTCACTGTCAAAGGAAGGAGCTGCGTCAAAGGACCAAACTGCAGGGCATCTAAATGCACATATAAGACGGTTACTTCCTCTATTCAAAGTCAAAATATGCAGTTTACAATTTGTTTGGTCGTTCTTATACATCGCTGACTCGCAATTTATCTGTTGTAGAGACCCAAACGTCAGTGGAAGATAAAACCAAACTACGCTAGCTCGGTGTACACCTTCAAGCCATAACGATAAAATCGTTAAATCCTTAACAACACTGTTATATACAACATGCATTTCTATCTCCTTTTCCCTGTCGATTAAATAACTCACTGTCAAATCACTGACCGTCTGTTGTGTCCGAGCTTCTAACTCCGACACGAACACTGTTTTTGTTTCACCTACCCAGCAACTCGGGCACGTAGCTCCGTGTTTTTCTTCTTTGATTGGCTGGAGGGACGTGGGTTTTTAAAACAAAGAACCAATGAAAATGCAACACGGGATTTTCTTCTCGCATGTTCTGTGGGGTCTGCGTTGTTTATGAAGGGCTGCCCCCTATCGTTGGTACTGTAGAACTGCACCCTATTATTAGGTTATTGTTTATGCCATCAACTACAACACACTGGTTAATTAAAGTTGATGATGATGATGATTGTGACTATCATTATTAATTGTCAAGTATTTATAATGATTTTTTGCCTTTTTTTTGGTCAATGTTGACCATCCTGAAGTTATTTCACTTCCGATTATAATGTGATGTTATAATGTGCAGACTGTGCGGGTAAGCAGACTAAATGTATGACAGTGGAAATATATTATTCATAATTTGGGCACGATCAATGTTAATTGTCCATCCAAACTGATTTTTTTACACAAGTATTTACACCTTCGGATTTAGGTTTGCACACAGATGTTTTCTGCCACAACACTTGGGGGCGCTCTTTTACTACAGTCCTTTCAAAGTCCTATTACAAGCTGGTAGAGAAAATGGATGGTGTACTTTACTCTGTCTGTGGGGGTGTTCATGACTGTATAATCATTATACCACATTGCATACACACTATGTTAGACAATACACAGTGCTCGGTTGAGGGAGAAGCAGAAATACCTTCTGAAACTAGTTCCAGGCACTACGACATGATTAGTATTTGTTGAAATATTGATGAGGCAACTCAAGTATTTGAAACATTTATTCAAGATTTTTTTCCATCAAAAAAAAAATCACATGAAAAATCATATGAAAACGACACTATCATTAATGTCACAGGATCAATATTCACAGTATACAAAAACAGAGTTTGGCTTTACAATCCTTCTGAAACAAATCACTGTAACATGAAACACTGCATGTTTAACTGTGATAAATTAAACACATGGTCCAGTTTAAGGTCTTCAATATTTAAGGCATTATATGTTGGCAGATATGACTGAGATTTTCTTATGAATTAAATCTGACGTAAAACTTCAATAAATTAAAGATCGACTGCATAGTTGCATCATTATTTGTCCAAATGATGAACATTTTACCTGACAGATAATGTATTGCACAAACTGGCACAGAATTAAATAAAAATGGCAAGAGCCTTTAAAGCCCCAGATATAAATAAAAATGTAAATGTTGTTTATCGTGCTATACATCGAAATCTGTTCAACAAATACAACAAACCTGAGAGTCTGCCTCAGCTTTTTAACTGAGTAATAAGGTTCTTTGACTGATGTTTCAAGTCATTTTGCAGCTATAAATGTGTCATTGTTGCTAGGACAATGTACAGATCAAATTAAAAATGAGGTTATCTCATGAGAATAATCGATTTAAACTCAGAAAATAGACTAACATAAACCCATACTATATAAGTCTTTTCACTAAATAGACTTCAATGCAAATACATTTCCATTCCAAAAAATAAAAAAATAGTTCACACACAACCAAATAAAATAAACAGTAAGAAAATTGATAAGCCAAAAAGCAACAAATTGAAATTAAATATTGTAGCCTCACTATACATGACACTTTAGGTATGTACAAAATTGAGAGCATCTTTGGCTGGGATTATCAATGCCATTCTAGACATCCAGTCGTCCCTCCCCCCAAAATATCAAAACCAGTGCAATTGTCCACATACTCTATCTTTCATGTGTCACATTATCTATGCTGTAGTTGACCATAGCCTGGCACCAACATCACACGTACAAGAATCTTTCCAAAAGGTGAGAGGTCTAGCTTATGTCACTGTGCAGCTGAGGGTTCAGAAAGTGTGTCCAACAGACTTTCCTCTGCCAGCTGAGATAGATATTTCTGCGTGGGAGAAAAGAAAAAGTTAAAATCTATAATCCAAAATATATGTAAATATATTTTATACAACAATACAAAATGTAACAGACATTGTGAATAATTAGAAAAGGTCTTTTATAAGATTAAGTGTTTTCTCCAAATTAGAACCAGTGGACCACCGCCTTTTTCAAGAGAGAAAAGGACAAGAAAGCAGAATCTCAAATATCACCATTGTAGACAAACAACTATCTGGTTCGTCTTTTCCACGTCCAAAATCGTGGAGATAATTGCATGATTTTACAAAACACTTTTGGCTACTTCAAATTTTTTTTTAAGAGGTTTTCAAAAATGTTAGTGATGAGAACCGCAGTCACCAAGAGTGCAAATACTTTTTGGTATGATTTTCAACAAATACAATTATGAAGTGACAAATTATAATCTGTTAAATGTGTGTATTAGGTATCTGCATTTAATATCAGCAATTACCAGCTTCAGTCTGAAAAATATATGCATTAGCCCCCAAAAGGTCATGTTGGTAAAACCATGTCCACGAGTTTCAGTTCAATATTGGAGAATAGGTTCTGGCTCAATAATGGTTTGGTTTGGTTTAGTTTACTTTTTTTTCAAAAATCAGTTAAAGAAGACAATTTGATTTTAAACTGAAACTAAATAGAAATGATATATATTTGATTTTAAAACAACTGTCAGAGCCAACATAGAAAGATAATTCTAGGTTTGAATTTGTTATAATAATGGACATAGAAACTTGCATGGCTGTAGAATGCCTGCTAAATGAGATACAGTTAATCCTTTTAAAATGTAGAAACAATGTTGAGGTTCACCTGTGTAGATGAGTAAATAAATTAAAACTAATAAAATTAAAACTATGGTCAGAAGAATGAGTAAAGTAAAACTATTAAGCACCAGGACACACACACAGACACAGACAGACAGACAGAGACACACACGGACAGACACAGACAGACAGACAGACACACACACACACACAGACAGACACAGACACACACACACACACACAGACAGACAGACAGACACACACACACACAGACAGACACAGACACACACACACACACACAGACAGACAGACAGACACACACACACACAGACAGACACAGACACACACACACACACACAGACAGACAGACAGACACACACACACACAGACAGACACAGACACACACACACACACACAGACAGACAGACAGACACACACACACACAGACAGACACAGACACACACACACACACACAGACAGACAGACAGACACACACACACACAGACAGACACAGACACACACACACACACACAGACAGACAGACAGACACACACACACACAGACAGACACAGACACACACACACACACACAGACAGACAGACAGACACACACACACACAGACAGACACAGACACACACACACACACACAGACAGACAGACAGACACACACACACACAGACAGACACAGACACACACACACACACACAGACAGACAGACAGACACACACACACACAGACAGACACAGACACACACACACACACACAGACAGACACGGACAGACACAGACAGACACACACACAGGGCTTTGACAGACAGCACAACTGTTTAAAACTGTTTTTTTCCTCTTGGAATGTAATCCATCAAATGTTAGGGAATTGCCGCTCATCTGGCTTGGCTCAGCTGCCGGGGACGAGAGAAATGCAAGATGGCTTGGTGCTGAATGGCCAATAATCAGAAACCTAATACAGTTGCAAGTTTACAGGCATGTGTGTGTGCTGGGTATATATGGCTGCTATATATTGCTGTGATCTGACTGCATTCATGTGTTTTCATTTCTGATTAATCTATCAATTATTTTTTCAATTAACCATTTACACTCTAAAATGTCAGAAAATAGTTGTTTTTTTTTTTAAAACACACCACAGTCCAAGATGTTTTTAAATTGTTTTGTTCAACCAACAGAACAAAGCACAAAGACATTCAATTTAAAGTCATATAAAGCTTGAAATTTAAGAACCTGGAACCAGTGTTTTTCCTTGATTAATGAGTGTTAATCAATGATCAATTATCATATGAATAATACTATAAAATTTCTGCCTATTGACTGGTCACTGATTAAACTAAATGAACTGTTGAATGGACTGTACATATTGAGTATGAAACACAGAGATTGCTCACCAACCCAGAAACAGGTGGTGTAATCTCTTGAGTTTTGCCACCAGCAGTGCCCTCAGTACAGTCGAGAGTGGAGGCATATAGATTTCAATTTTTGACACACCACCCACAAGAATAAAAGGAGTGACGCAGACACTCATATACTGAGGGTCGGCATGCTCATATAATTCAGGAAACTGTTTAACTCAAACTTGCCCTCGTCATCATTGTCAGCTGCAGGACTGGTGTGTCACTGTGCAGTGTGTACCTGTAGGTTCCTGTAGTGTACAGTGCTGCGGCAGTGTATCGTCTTTGCATTCTCCTCACTGGTATAGAACAATCCACAGAGTTTACAGTAGAAGCCGGTCCTTGGCACAATGAACTCCACTCCTATTAGACAGTGAACACAACAATTAGAATTCAAACCCAGAAATCAGTACGACACATGAGGGAACTCACAAAGGGTATTTCCAGTGAGTAGAACTTAAAGCGACACTGGAATCCATTTGATTCAATGATACAATTTTTGTCTTACTTTGGAAATGAAAACGAACCATTTTAAACCAAAGTAAAGGAAAGTAAAGAAAACCCAGTTTCTTTTATTTACTGTAAATCTGTTTTTCTCATTCATTCACATTTTTTCACGTCTTATTTATTTAAACCAAACAATGCCTCTGTCAACGGCAGGCTGAATAATGTGACCTCTCTGGATGTACCTTTCACTTCACCGCTCTGCTCTATATTTCAACCACAACATGGGGTCAATGTGATTGACTCTATGTGTGTACTTTGTGTGTATTAATATACACACACAGTACAATTACTTTATCTTGATTGCATGAAATTAGACAGGAAGATCAATTATGCATGATATTTCAGTCCTTCATGAACACACTGTTCTGGTGAGCACATTTCAACAACACACACCTGGCTGTCAGTATTCCCTTTCCAGATCAATGTGACAATAAAAAATGAACAACATGACAACAACAACAACCAGACGACTCTTCAGCGTTTTATATTTGTCTCAGCCATGGTATCAATGGACACAGTTTGCTCTGGACAGACACACTCACTCTTGGGGTATCATACAACAGAAATAGCAACACAGCTCACGGCACACACAGCTCTTGAGTCTGTACTGTGGTCTATTGTTGCCACACTGCATCAGAGCTTATGTAAGTCTCCATGCAGCAGGTCCAACACCGGCCATGTGCTTGGCCATGTCATTCTAGCCCCAATGATAATATAAATACTCATCTCTCCGGGGTGCATTTCACAACCTGCTCACGGAAATAGGTCAGCAAGTGGCCAAGCAATTCCAGTCAATTAGAGTGCTAATGCACCAGGTTGTCAGTGCACTTATTAATGGTGTACATGATAACACTGTATCTTTAGGACTAAGACCACAGGCTCAAGACTTGTCGGTGACAACGTTTATATATAGACCAGCCCGAGGACTGCTGGGATCACTACAGCCAGAGAAACCCCAATCAATTTTCATCATTATTGTAATGCTCAGTCTATTTCATGTAAGATGAAATTTGCTGACAAAATAGGAACCATACTGACTATGTTTTAACATCATCAATAATTCTCTATTCTCCAACACTCACTCATAATAGTAATAAAATGTGTTATGCTTACCCAAAGGGATGCTGTGTTCACTGACAGCTTTGTCTTGCTCACGAGATGGTGAGGGGGCCTCCATCTCTGTGAAAGGCAAACAACTTATGAGAAAGGCAGGATGCACAAAACCCCCTTAGAAATTATACTTACTTTTCCCGACAGTATATTTTTATCACAGTCTGTTTATTTGTCAACAGGATTACACAAATGCAGCGAACTGATTTGAGCTTGGTGGAGGGATGGGGCTCACTCCAACATAAAATTTTGGGGCAGTTAAATTATCAGAAAAGAAGATTTACTACCACTCAATGAATATAGAAAAGGAATCACATTTTATGAAGTAGAGCCCATTGGGAATTCACATAAAAAGAGACATGAGCGGCGTGTAAGCGGTTTTGAAGTAACGATCCATTTAATCCACATCAACTCTGACCTCAGTTTGGACGCCTCGGTCCCCAGAGCCAGCTGTTTGTTAACAGTACAGAAACAGAGCGGACAGCAACCGACCAAACTGTCTTCAGCAGGCTAAAGACAACTGAATTGAATTTTGCCTCATGAGGGGCTGAGGACCGAAAAGTTGTTCTTTAAGTGAGTACAAGTGATGGACAGTGTGCAGGATTTTTGCCATTTGTTCTCTAGTTAAGAGTGTTTGATCCCGCGCACCTGTCGCTGAGACTCTCTGTAATCACCACTTGGAGAAATTTACTAGACAAATATTTTTTCAAGTAGGATCCATGAGGACTATATAGGAATACCACAGCTGTTTTTAATTTACTGATTCACTGATTTTATTTTATTATGCCTATAACGAAATAAAAACGCTCTTACGCGGTACTGGCTGCCTTGATTAATCAATATTGATGCTATTAATAGGTTCATAACATATAAAAGGTGGAACATTTGTTTGAATTGGCATGCTAGAGGAAAAAAATGTGACATCTGTTCCATGAGTCAGGCCAGTGATGGACATTAAGAACACTTCAAAAGAGGCTTTCTTTGTGGTTTATCCTGAAGCATGTTTGTGTAACAATTAATTGACCATCCTGAAAAGAAATCTGTATAGTTTTTACAAAGCTACAAAGATTTCTCATATAAAGTACCTTTTTTAAGAATGCCATCCTTGAGTTGTGCCCCATTTGTGATTATTTCCGTGACCTGTCCTACTTCCTGGGTCTTGCTGTCCTCTAATACTCTGTGATTTTCCGTTGGCTCTTCGGATGGCCCACAGTTGGTTACTTTATCCTCTAAACATGCCTCCTCCAGTGCAGCCTTGAACTCCTCACTGGGGAAGTCGCTAAGGTTAGTGGTTGGCAGCTCAGGAGTCACTTGGCTGGGTTTCTGTTCTTCATGACTGGTTTCAGTTAAAACATTCTCTGCTTTCTCAGTTACAGATGTTTCAGCCTGGTCTCCAGCAGCCCCGCGGGACTCTCCCTGGTTAGACTTCTTGTTAAATGTCTCCTGCTCCTCCAAGGGTTGCGCAGGTGGTGATTCATGCTTCTCAACTGCGTCTTCCTGGGCAGACTCTTTGGGGCAGGACACGTACTCTTCAAGCTCAGGAAGGTCTGGCTCAATAATGGAATCATCTTCGCCTCCCACTTCATCAACAGTGACCAGTTCCTCCATGTTCTTAGGATACCAACACTCCTCATCAGTGTCAACTCCACTTTCCCACTCTTTCTCCTGGGGAAATAGATCAAGAAAAGACTTGTTAAGAGGGTACAAATACGTTTACACTTAAGGGTTAAATAAGAGTCTGACTCCATACAGATCAAAGTGTTTACTTACAGTCTCTCTATCTTTACTACATTCAGTAGCCTCTTTTGGTTTATTGTTTTGCTGAGGTGAAACCGATTTTTCTTTTGACTGGCGATCCTGAGAAAAGAATTGACTTAGTTGCTAGAAGAACGTGTCACATAAAGCAGGTATACAACAATAGTGTACTTTTACAAAAGTTACTCACGGTATTTTCAGTAGCATTCTCTCTCTCGTGTTTTTCTGCAGTGGTGTGCCTCCTGCTTGTCTTTTTGCTCCTGCCCCTGCCCGGCGAACTCTGTCTCTTTTCTTCTGGTGTTCTGCAAAGTGGTTCCTCACTCATCTCAAACTCAGAATGCCTTGGCCTACCATGGTAGTCACCACCATCCCTCCTCTTTGGCTTTGTGTCATGCCTTTGGTACGGAGGTCTGGGCGGCTTGTCTGACTTGTACATTTGTTCTTTCATGTAGAAGTCGTCCTCCATGTTCCTGTAAGTGTTAAAGGACATCCCCTGAGGGCTGCCTCGTGGGTGCCAGTCTCTGTTGCCCCTCATCCGATCTTCACCTCCTCCTCGCTCATCTGCAGATCTCGAGCTGATATGATCCATGGGTTTCTGGTAGGCCTTTCGACGGTCAGCTCCCCGTCCGTTAGGCCGATCGTCATCCACGCTTCCCCCATTCCTCCATGGGTCATCCCTCTCCCTTTCGTCCTCACCCCTTCTTAAGTGTGATGACCAATCCCAAGAGCCCCGGCAGGGGCCGAAGCCGTTGCTCCTCTCTGGACCTCTGCATGGTGCCCCCTGGGGACTGTGAGCTGAGCTGCATGATGTAAAACTAGGGCTATGGGAATGAGGACTCAGAGAGCGGCTGATAGGGCTACGGGAGCGTGCTCTCTCTGGTATGTAGCTGCAGACAGATGATAGGCAGATTACACAGTGGAATCTTCTAAAACTGCTCTGTGTAAAACTGTGCTGGAATTTTTTTGTTCAGAAATGTTGCACTGATTCAAATTAAGTAAATATCTATGACATTTTCCTATCACTGAATTTCTATTGGTGCTTCAAAGAACTCAGTGACACAAAATCAACCATTTGTGACTGAAAGGAGAATTAAAAGTTGCTTTACTGTTCAAGTTCTTGCATCTCATCCCTCTCCCGCTGAGAGTTGATATCCTGGATGATCGTTTGAACATCTTTACCTGGTTTCTAAACAGGAAAAAGGTTTTTTAGTCATCACCTAAAACAGCAGCTGCTGTTATGATATAGTGACCCCTCAGGGACATGACACTGTTCACTTTGTTTTTCAGTCTTACCTTGAGTTGCAGCTCCTTGTACCTCTTAGACATTCGTATGAGAAGTTTCTGATTGCTAATCATAGCTGGAGTAAGTTGGTAGTATTGAACCATGGCCTGAGCTGCTTCAACATATGCCATCTCCAGAAATGCCTGATGGGAAAAGAGAAATTTGCTGTAAACAATAATGCCCTCCTGACAGTTATATGTTCTTTCATGCAGGATGTATAACATACAGTATTTCATATCTGTCAAACTGCATGCAAGCGAATCTTTGAAAATTATTATCACAAGGCATCAAGTTTCATTACTATAATAAATCACCAGAACAGTTGCTTTAGTCTCCGTAACCAATACCATGATTTTAGTATGAATGCCTTGAATTTGATATGGGTGATATTAATGGTGCGGTTCACTTCTGATAAATGAAACCTCTGAACCTGAGTGAGCTGTCATATACTGGCAGTTAAACCGCCAGCAAGCTATGGCAAAGTACGTGAGACCACATAACAGTTACAGCTGAAAAAAGCTGTTGATAATCATAAACATGCACATTGGTAATTTGGTCACAGCAATTAGAGCACATCAGGACAGAAATCTGTGCAAATACATAAGGACTATTAAGATGATTTTGAGATTCAGTTAGGATGCAATCAAACCATACAAACTAAACTGCCTGAATTTTACAGCATTAGTTTGATTTAAACCTGCAATGACTGATTTTTGTCCACTTGGAGGCAGCAGAAACAGAACATTGACATATCATGACCTTTTAAGTTGATGTGGCAAACATGTTAGCAAACAGTTGCTTATTTACAAATCCAGCAGTTACAGAGCAGCATTGTAGTTCATTTGGAGTCACATTTCTGTTCACCTCGAAAGCCAATGTCCGCTCTCTTTTAGCTATGTTTTGGTCTCTATCAACTCTTGAGTTAAATATCTGGCTCTTCAGCTGCTAAATGCTCCACTATATATTCTCTAACTGTGTCTGTCTATCTTTCTGTGCTGAGCAGATAGTGTACAGTGGGTTTTTAGAGGTTTTTCTCTGACAACAGCAACAACTTGTACAACAGCCTGCAGAGGCTGAAAACGACAACAGCTCATTGTCTAGTTTTAAACAACGAGCTGAAACTGGCTATAAAGCACTATAAAGCCATGGTGAGCTGCAGATTCAGGTGATAATTCTCTGTAGGTTCATCACCACAATTTTATATTTTGTCATTATAAAAATAATGTGGGTCAGACTTTACATTTTGCTATTGCTATATAAATATGAATAACAAATAATTGACCAAATGTATTGTACCTGATGGGTAGAGCGCATGAGGATGTAGTTGGTGACTTTGCCAAAGGGTAGTCCCAGGTTGATGACATCATTCTCTGTGCAGCTGCCTTCAGGGAGGTTGCAGATGTGAACGACACGCCCTGCGGTTGCTTTTCTGGGTGGAAATGGCTGCAAATAAAAAAAAAAAAAAGTCAAGACAAACTTTGAACAACCATGAGCATTGTTTTAAACACCACCACTTTTGACAGAGTTATCAGTAATAATACGAAGATAGGCTTAACCCTCGAAATCAATATTTAGCTTCTCATCTAACTGTTGGACTTATAACAAAAAAAAGGAGAATTACAAAAATCTCAGTCAAGAATACTGTAGGAAACTAGTCTGTCTAACATCAATGCAACACTATCATGCAGGATGTCATGTCATGTTCCCTCCTTGATACAGCCCAACTCATTGCATCTATTAATAGTTAATTGGCAGTAGAGCAGCAGTGATAATGGAAGTTTTCTTGTTTGGATTTAGAGACTTGTCAGCTGACTGGCACCAGACATTTCACATATTTGACACCTGCGCTGCTCAATATCCATTTGTCTTTCCCCCTTTTTTATCTTAAAGGAAATATGTAGATGAGTAACACGGGAATGAGTCGAGCCTTTTTCATGGAGACACAGAAGGCTGCAGAGATATAGTACCGAGAAGGTGAAAGTAAAATCATCCATTTTGGTTTTAGATACTGTAAAACCAAATTGTTATATTAAGTAGCCATGTTTTATTTATTTCTGACAATCTATCAATCAATCTATCTATCCCTTATTACTGTCATAATTTACTTTTATAGCTTTATTGCATTATAACAAATAAAGTTAACAGTTTAAGTCTTTGGTTCTTTCTCTTTCAGCTTTTATGTCTCCATTTTCATTTCCAGCTCAATTATTAGTGCCTCTTTTTTCCAACTCCCTGCTTAACTATTTATCCTAAAATCTCAGCAATCTTTAGCTCCATCTTTCCCTATTTTGACTCACCACCAACAATTTTTTTCAACATCTGTCTCTGCCGAAAGTGGAATTTAAAGAACAGACATACGATGAAGCTGACAAAAATAATCTAAAGAACTTGCTCCACTGTAGCAGGGACTCTGGACGTTGTGATTCAGAAACATGTGGAAAAGAAGAGCAGTGTGCATCTTTACTGTTCTGATGAGCTGCATGACTCCCTTTTAGTGGTTGTTTCACCTTTCTCATTTGCTCCCCTAAATATCTACATATCACCTTAAAAACACAAAGGCAACAACCACTGACAATTTGCTCTGTCTATCTACAGTACATTCATCATCAAACTAGTCTTTGCACATACCATTTGATACCTCGTGTTCCTTTAACATCGCTGCAGAAAGCAGTTGTAAATTCAGCTTGTTATATGACGGCGTCTTATTTCTGCTACCATTATGCTGCAACTGCAGTTTTCCCTGTGCCCCTCCTCCTCTTCCTGCTTCTCGGGCTGACAGACCTGATGGACAGTCCCATGTGCGGGACAGACTGGGAGTCCTAATTCCACCTCAGACCAGCAGCCAGGGTCTCTGTTTTTACAGGGAATTTGTTCAGGGAAAACCCAACACTAACATACACTTCACACTGGGTCCAATAGCCATGAAGTATGAATGTATAAGTGGGAGGAGGAAACTTTTACGATCTCAAAGTCACTTTGCACTATGCATGTCGAAACATAATCAGAGGCAACTGTATCCATATTCAGAGAACACATGAAACACTGATCACAAATAATCTATTAATAGCATGTGATTCTATATCACAAAATCCTGAATGATGACTTGAGACCGAAATGGTGAAGTAGTTAATAAATTGAGGACTCATACTTTCTTTTTAAAAGGTGCTTTTGTCCCTTACAAATTGGACGCTCTAGATTTTGGACTGGTATTTCTATTCACAAATTGTGGAAAAGCTATGTTACTGCTCATTCAATAACAAACAAGAGACCTGGATGATTTGGCTTTAGATGAGCCAGATTACTGGATTGTTATGCCACAACTTAACGGTTTCTGGCCAGCAAGATGACATTAACAACTTCAGATGCAGGAGTGATAATTCTATTAACAGCTCTGTGCCAATGCCACTGCCACCACCAGAATATATAAAGGTCAATGCAGGTTGGGCTCAATAAACAGATCCAGAAATAGGCTGTTTATGTCTTTGGAATATTAGAAAGAACAAGAGTCTCCTTCTTTGCTCACTATGTTCACTAATGTCTGACCTGTAAAACCTTGTCTATGTCTGAAAGCCCAGACAGTTTGACCACAGCATTGATATCACTGTCGAGGTTGGCTCAGGCTTCAAACAGTAGCTGTTTCTGTTGACCGCAAACCAGAAGTGCAGTTATGCTATGTAACTGCACACTCACAAACCAATCTACTAAGCCAATCTGCTGGGTCAGCTCCAAATAATTGTCAAAAGTATTTTAATTTAACTGGGAATTAATTGTGATTGAAATACACCTTGTACCTTGTACCCTTATGAGTTTATTACAGTTTCTCATCTATAAATTATTTGACTTTACAGTTGTTATTCTCAATTTAACCTGAAGAAAACAGTTATGATAATTTACAGTTTTTTTTTCCTTTGATGTATTTTTTCATAAATCTTCTGATTAAACAGTTTACACCCCTAGACTACAGCTTACAGTCAAAGTTAATGGCTTTACCTGCCACAGTGTGTTCAGCCATATGTGTTATGACAACAGCATGACCTGGCAACTCAGAGCCAGATGGTGTAAAGGATAACAACCATTTCACATGGTGCTTTCACTGACAGCATGCTGATTGACATAAGCTGGAATCTGTCCTAAGGACATGCCTGTTTATTTGTACAAAGCAGGATACATGTTGGAGGATCCAGGAAGATGGTCAGTTTGGTTTCACAGTTTTTCCCCACGTTCCTACACAGAGTGCTTGCACGCCGATTCCTCAGATCATTTTACCAGTCTCTCACCAGTCTGAAACTTTACACCGCTACCCGGGGGTGTGACCCAGGGGTCTTTAGGTCTGTGCTCCTTACAGCAGTTAGCTGTAATCCTGTGTTTATCTCTGTTTGAGTTCTGTTTTCACATGAAGCTACTGTGTTACTTAAAAACTGGGCTACTGGACAGTGCAGTCCAAACTAAGGAACGTCTGTGTATGTGCAAGCATGCATATGTGCAAGCTTGCATGTATGTGCTTAGGCATATGTATGTGAGCCTCCATGTACAGGTCTATAGTAATTGTTGGTTTTCTTTATTTCGATCAAAAATCAGTTTCATTGAAATTCATGTTCAATTTTACTTTACCAAAGGAGTTTTCTTCTAGTTTGATTTCTAGAGTCTGTTTCTACAAATGTTATATGTTATATTTGTTTACATTTTAATTTTCACACGTACAAATAAAAGTTCACAAATTATCATTGCGTGTGTTTGTGCGTGCACTTTTGTGTGAGTGCTCTGCTCAAACCTCAAACAATAAAACTCCACCTGTTCTGCTTGGACAGGTGTGTGTTTATAGCAACTAACATTAGCTCATGTAGCACAGCCTATAAATATTTTTCCACTGATCCAATAAAACCCTTTGTCAATAACCAACCAACCATGACTTTCACATAACTGAGTTCAGGCTCCTGTTAAATAGTGCCAGGAAGAGAACAACAAATGGTTGACATGAAAAAGCGAAGCCACACAAAACATTTGTTGGAATGGAAGAAGGGATATAATTTAAACAAGAACTACAGAATCTGTTACAGCCCCCTATCTCAGATCTTAAACACATTTCTTTATATCTTATTTTCACTTTACTGCTGAGCTTTATTTTACCTGTATAAATGGTTGTAGTAATTATTATATGTGTACTCTGCTGAGTTTTGTTTTACATTTCTGTGAAAATCCCAAGATGTCTAAACATGGAATAATGTTTATTTTAGTAACGCAACATTAAAAATAGAATCTTACATTTGAGCAGTGAGATTAATGTGCTTCATATAAAAGCTGGTGCAAGTAGATACAGATGCACATTATTCAGTGTATTTTCTGGACATTGAAATTCAAGGGGCGGTAGGGTATGTTACAAGAGTTTAAAAAATAGCAGCTAAGACAAATAATCAATATATTGCCAAAATCTATGTGCTGGGCACCAGACTAAGCTTTCTCCAGGTTTGCTGGGACGCCTTTCACCTCGCTCACTATCTGCACTGTGCTTTTTAAGAGACCTGCCCTCTTGATGGGCGCTTATCGACAGCTGCCGTTTTTCAACTCTAGTCAAGAGCCAACATTTCTGGACAGACAAACTAACTGTTGGGCTGCAAATATTGACAGATAAGCTCTTATGAATATTCCTTATTAATTGAAGCCAAAGACAAAGTGAAGGGATTAACATTTACTTATGCTTCATTATTGGAAACCCTCCACAGTTTGCACCCTCTGCTGTAATCCAAGTGGTAAATTTTCAGCGTCTTTCCAGGTTGTAGTTGTTGTTATATAAAGTAGGTCTCCATAATTTGTTGTTGCTGTGCTGTTGTGCACATTTTCATCTCTTTCTTTTTTACTGTGACTCAAAGTCTTGACACAACCATGCAGCCTAATCAATTCTTCAGTGTCCACAAAAGTTCTACATTTCAGCCATAGTGATTATACATCGGCTTGATTATGTCTGTAAGTAAAATTAAAATAAGATTTTTGAAATGCAGTTCGCTACGCAGTTACATGCGTGTGACGTAGTTGGCGCATCGGTCTGTACAGAACTTGCTGCTTTAGCTAACATGAAACCGTTTCTGTTCTGAAAGGCAGACACAGCTGAGTTGTGTCTGGTCCTAACAAATTTTTACAGTAGAATTGTGAAATATATTTCCTGCCTAAAATGAACTGAATCTGTTAATGCAAGTAGGAATAAAAGGAAAAAAAGTTCAAAACAAAGTATGAATATTTTCATAAATGTTCACTGCTAAACAAAATGTTCCTATATACAGAGGTTTTTCTGTTATATCCATATTTCACAGCTTAAATTGTATCCAGGGGCTGGGTAATCCTGAAGTAGTAATCTAAGGATTAATGAAAAATCTCAACACCTAGTTTCTAGCCAGTATTTAATTACACACTTTGCCTGGCTATCCAGTTCACTGGAAAAGAGTTGTCAAGCCCGGACAAAGCCTGCTGTTGGGCCCCAGCAGCTGTCAACAAGGGGATCCGGGTCCATTCATTACACAAAACACATTTGGCATCCATTCATTACACACCTTACATACGTGTTCTTACTACAGAGCAGCGTCTTTTAAGATACATGGAAGAAATGCAGTGTACAGGAAAATTCAGTGAAAACCTAAACAGAGATAAAATATGATAACATACCCGCTCAGTCTGACCCTATTACTCTGCACTGAAGAGTACTAATGAAAACTGCCCCCCCCCCCAAGTATATTATTACAAGAGTCATAGACACGGGTCAAACATTACAAATCACTTTTTAATTAAATAGAATAATTAAATTCGAGAGTGACAGAGGTTCCTTTGTCGCTAACATTCTTCAGAACTTGTCACAAAATTTGATTTACATGCCAAGATCAGACTCTAATGATTCTGTGAAAAAATCCAAACATTTGTCTGACCTTTGACTCTGGCTGGTGTGAGGCAAATCCTGTGTCTGACATGGGATAAGTCTTCATGGCTGCAGCTGGCAAGTATGATGTATTGGCTCCTGAGGATACATCTGTGGAAACAATTTGAAATTGTCCTCATATAATAGAGCAAATCTGGGGGAAAAGTTACATTAGTTCAATGTTATAAATATTGCTAATGAAATGTCTCAATCAAATTCTTACTTTTATTTGAAAACACTAGGTTGAAAGAAAAGGGTTCAAAACAAGTTCTCAGAGCTGATGGATGGGGAGGGCGGTGATACTGACCTGTGATGTGAATGCACACTCAGTTTCTCAGTTATACCCTATGGCTTGTTCCAGCAGTGGTTTAGTGTTTACAATGGACAATTAGAAAACTCCTTTTAAAGGTTTGGGTACCTCCATAATATACATCCAAATGTTAAATCAAGGTTTATTTAAACTGTACTGACATGTTTTTCTAGACTTACAATTAGCTGAATGCACTGTAATTATAATAGTATGGCTTCAGGATTTCTGTAAAATGTACATTATTAACAGTAGAAGACACCTCTTATTTTATTTCTAAACACTGAATACTTAACTGGAGGACAAAGACCCAACAGATATGTTTCCATGGAGACTAACATTCAGATTATTATCAATTTAAAAGCCCCAAAAGAATTAAAATGCTCTATAGTGGTTGGAGGGGGATAGATTAAACCTTTTCATAAACCAATCAGAATAAAAATTGTACCACGTAAATGATTTCTGACTGCATTCTTTCTGCGCATGCCCTCTGCCGTGACATAAATGCGTGGGGGCTTACGTTTCTCCACTTCCCAAAAATGGCGGCTCCAAAGCTGATTTGGCCCTCTACAGAGAGTTTGTTTTAATACAGCCAATGAGGAAGACAAATGGACGATGTATTCACCACTTCTGTGCATGTCACACAGCTGTTCTGATTAAATGCACCGGTGCATGTAAACACTAGACCATAGTAAATCATATCCCATGTGAACAGTAAACCCGAAATCTTCAGTCGGAATGATTTCAATCAGAATGGGAAAAAAAGCGTGTGCATGTAAATGCAGCTATTGAAAGGTTACATGTGTAACCATGGTTCTCAGAGTGAGAGACCATCTCTCCAACTTGAGGCTGCTAAAAGACCCACTCCATGGAAACTGTGAACAATGAGGGTTTTTTGCTGTCTGGACCACCCACAGATGTATGTCTTAAAGTAATTATACACAGGGATATGTAATACAGTGGAGAGATAGGATTGCTATGATAGAGAACAGGTGCTCAGTTTGTTTATGTGTAGAAAAGCACAACACAGATCATAAGCTTTGTGGGTTTGCAGTTATAATATGTGCATTAAAAGTCATAAACCCCCAACAAGTATGAATGAAGGTTTGGGTTAGTGCTGTGGTCTTGATATTTTGGATTTCAAAACACTTTATTATAAGTCAATATATCAAAATAGACTGCGTCAAGTTATAAAAACATGTTGCCTAGTACTCTCACCCAACTAAAAATACTCCCTGACCTCCATCTATCACTCCGTTTCACATATTCCAGCCATCAGAAAAACATCACTCTAACATCTCCAGCAAAAAGGTACACTTGGTAGGTGGTGGTGACGAATGGGTTATCCTACCTTGACTTGCAGCAGAGTAGACCATGGAGTTTGTCCCTCCGGATTTCAGACCTCCATCAGGAGGCCTGCTGACAGCGTAGTGAACAGCTCCAGCTGATACCACGGCGGAGCTGCAACAATCATAGAAGGCTGATTTTAGCTGCCGCTCCCCTGCCTTGCTCACTCATATCTTGTGACAGAGCTCATATTCATAGAAACATTAAGACAGCTGTATATAGAGCAAGGAAAAGGAAAATAAATTGCTTCCTACACTCAAGAGAGATTTGCTCTGGAATGATCAATATATTGTTAATCTAAAAAAAAAAAAAAAAAATCACACTTAAACACAGCTGGTAAGAGAATGAGGAAATTACCAAACCATGGTAAGAGATAATTGTAAAAGCAAACATCTTACTTCAATTTTTGACAACTGAATAGACTGTGTGAAGCCACTAGTTTTGTGAATATCTGAAGTTCTTGCAGGGTAATAAAAGGACATGGGGGAGCACATGTTGCGATCACAACCCAATTTAAACTCTGTCTAGTGAATTTTAGAGTTGCAAATCACTCACCTTTCGTTTGTGTACAATGTTCGATTCTGCAGGTGTAGTTTCCCCTTCACGTGCTGGTCCCAGTCCTAGAAACACACACATACACACAAATACACACACAAACACACACACACACACACACAAACACACCGTCCAAACTTAGACTCAAACAGCTTGGACACACTGGAAGCTCACTGCTTGCCCACCCCCCTGATAGCTCTTACATACCCCTTGTATAAGCTCATGGCTGAAAGCAATTAAAGAGACAACATCTTGGATTAGTTAGTTAGTGAAACTGGGTTGCCTGCTTGTTTAATTCTCTGTTGTCTATCATTAAGGTATGAGCTGACAAATGTTCACATGTGGTGAATAATAGTTTGAAAAATAGTAAAAAATAGTTTGTGGTGTACAATAACATTTGCAAAAGAAGCATGCATTTATGTTTTGACTGATCAGTTGACTCACCTTGAGGTTGTAAACCTTCTTGTCACAGATGCTACACTGGTGTGGCAGTTGAGTGGGTGTGACAGCATGGTAATCATTGACTTGATAGGGCTGAAGTGTTCTGGTTTCCTCACTTCCATGCAGGGGCTGGTAGCCCCCAAATCCCTGTGTGCCACTTGAACCCAACGAGGAACCCCCACTACTGTGATTGAACTTGGGGTCAGGGGTTGGCTCCTCTGGGTTATATAGTTCTGTTTGGGAACGAATTGGCTGCCCAGCTGCTGTCCACACAGTGGCAGCATTAGAAACCATATCCATCTTTCCAGTGTGACTCATGCTACTGGGGCCTTTCCATTGCTCCTTCTGCCCAGGGGAGTTATAAACATTTATGTTCTGCTCATTGACACTAAATCCAGCTTGTTGCCCCTGTATATCCTGCCCATAGAAATCTCTCTGAAAACCAACATTGTTCATGTTCTTTGCCTGAGTGTTTATCACTGTGTAATGTTCATCACTAGCAGTGGCTGATGCTGCAGATGTCCCTCCAACTAAGTTGTACTGAAGACGCCTGTCAGTATCAGAGGGGTAAGCTGAACCTGACTTTTTACCATACTCCGCACCCTGTTGGCCCACTGTGCCCCCTCCACCAGGATGGTTCAGTCTTACATTCCCTGGGTTTTGGTGGTATCCCGCACCCACTAAGGCCCCCAAGGCTGAATTTGAAGAGGGAAATCCTAGCACTCCCGTGGGGAAGGCACCCTGTGGATTCCCAACCATAGTCGAAGTCCGTAGCTGATTGAACAGGGGTTGGGACATGGCGACATTGGAAAGAACCTGATTGAGAACAGTGGCGGCAGTGGCTGTGTTGCCCCCCTGAGCCAGTTTGAGGCGATGGAGGGTGAGCTGGGCCTGGAGCTGAGCAAGCTGGAGGCTGGCTGGAGTCAGGAGGAGCTGCTGGTTCTGCTGCGCAGGGACCGCCTGCACACTGCCTGGCAACTGGCCACCCACCTGGAGGCCTTTCTTATCGGTGCTGTCCACAGGTATCGCACTGATGCTGCAGGAAACAAAAACATCACATACTTCATGAATCTCAAAGGACTAATCCACTTGAATCACTTGCTAGTTGCCACACAATAGCTGAGAGGTTTTGTGTGATCATAAGCAAGGAGGTGGGATTCAGACTAGGCACTTTTAACAGACTCTAAATCAGAGCCAGTGGCTTCTCACTACTTCTTATTATAAATGACATAATGTCAATTGAGTCTGCAGACGCTCAGACACTCTGACTTGCCAGCTCAGGAATGTAAGTTGGATATACAGCAACGAGTTCTCTGCAACCCTCCAATGGAGTTGGAGGAAACATGAATGCAGGAACAATGCCAGCAGCCACCAATGTCAATGAGATTGGGTGTTGCCACATAAATACAAGCTATGTATGTTATGGAAGCGTGGGTTGTGGAGGAAGAGCAAATGTCTATTCGAACTTTTAAACACTGATTGGATACACTTAATGCTGCCTACTGCAACTGGCACAGAAGGGCAATGCATGGCCGTTATTGTGAATGTTATATCAGTCTCAAATGTGACTTGTATTTAAAGTAGCAAAACTTTTCCTGAACATTCAATCGAAGGAAATAACATTGTCCTGCTCACATTTAACTCCACACCATTTTCAACTATTGGTACAATAGAATTATTGACTGCTAATGGAAAAACTGTGGCTGTGCAGACAATTTTATGTATGTCACAAACCACCAACAACAATCACTTCTGTACAGTAGAAAAGGGTTAATTGGCATATGAGTCTGTTAAATTAGCTACTTTCACTAACCATCAAACTACAGAAAAAGATAAATTACTGGTATTTCAAATAGACATTTACTCAGTGCACCATTGTTTTCCTATTCTTGTTGATTGGCTGTTTCAGTTTCAGTTTCAGCTCCTCATATTAACACAACTGTTTCCACAGCTAGCATAAGCAAACACGTTGAATCAAACTGATCAACCGGCAGATGGTGGGCAGTTGGGCACAGCCATCAGCTGGCTGTCAGTGCTGCTGGGTTTAGGATAAAACAAAAGAAAGTAATCAGTGCCAAGATGTTTTACACAGCAGTTTGCTGATGAAGTTGTTCTTCAACCTATCCTTTGGTGGTATGGCTGATGAAAGTAGCAAGGAAAAAGCAAATGTTCATTATTTCCACTTGCAATACGCCCATAATATCTTATATTATATTATTTATTTTTTCCTACACCTGCTCTGGTAAATCTATCAACCACCACCCAATGCAATAAAACCCGGGACAATGGTTTAGGTATACTGAACTGGGAATGATGTGAATATGGAGGGCATGATGTAATTGTAAAACAAATACTGAAACCCGTCTGTCTGTTTCCTGGTTTCGCAGAAATGATTTTCCAGTTTACTGACAAGAAAAATCACCCGCTAAGTCAGGGAACCGTAGACATAAGCAGCCAGTAGCCTCCTGATACCACCTACGTTGTGTCATTACACTGGTCCATTTACCGTGAACAGACTCTCTGTGTCTGCTCCACTATTCAGTCTTGTTGCTCTTGCTAGCTTTCTGTGTAAACGAGAGCTATCATGGGACATCGTAACAAGATGTCTCAAGATTATATAACAGGAGCAATTCTGATCATTTCAATGACTTTTCGCCAGAGTGGAAAATAATGGATTTAATCTTTCACAGTATTTCTACCACGGACAGATGGTATGACATAATTTAAATTTCTTGAATAAAGAAAGAGTAGTTAAAGTAACAGAGAGACAGCTGTATAGGGCATGGTTCAGATATCAAAAGGTTAGTGGCCCAAGCCTCTATTTTCCTACTGGTATACTGTACTGCACACCAGCTTCCTACAACACAAACTGCTGTAATAGAACCACTTAAAACCACATCGCCCACTGGTGCCATGACCCTGTTTGACTGGTCTGTCCTTTCAATTTTTGATGAATGCTCTCACATGCTGTCTAAACTTAGTCTACTCAACTACTCATCACATCATCTATGTTAAGCACCTGACACCCCTCTATCTAGCCACTGCTCCTACCAACCCTGATGAAAGGTGACAGACCAATCCGATTATGCAGGGTGAAATTCTAAATTGTTAGACAGAGATTTGTCAGCCATAAACTTTTGCACATGGAGATACTGACACATTATGGTTATTTGTACTCATGTTTACACAGATCCTTCAAAAACAATATATATTATAAAGCAGGTTGTGGTTGTCCCTTTAAAATACAAAGAAGTTCAAGAGACATAAAAATGAATTTATGCAACTGAACCTCCAGGTCACTCTCCCGGCTGGCTTTTTTAGTTGTCATTGGTCTTGTGATTTCACTGCCACATCATAAACTGGCATCACACTCTTGAGCTAGAGCACGAAAACGCAATGAAACTATGTACGTTTGTTTTGCATTTTGAGATGACTGAAAATACAAAGACTTATATACTGTATACTGACTTAAGAAACTCAATGTTATTGTTACAACAATATATTGAGTCAAGGCTTTTGAATGTTGTGCAATTTCAGCTTAACAGTACAGGTGTAATTCTGTCACAGAAGAAGAATCTAATTTTCCAACAACTGGTTCTATGTCTGCAACTCTACATCACAATGACATAGTTGCACCAATATACCTTTATTTTTGGTATACCTGTTTCATTTAATAGTCATACTCAGTGTTATGGCTTACTACCATAATATTTGTCCAGTCAACTCTGACGCAGACAGGCTGCTCACCAGTTAAAACTTAGGGCAACAGTGGAAATCAAATCTGCTGAAGCTGCTGATTACAAAGAAAATTACGCTTTTTAATTTCAAATTCTTTAAAACCATTTTTCACCACGTCATCACTTTCACACTGTTGCCCCACTAATTTGAAATATAATAGATAATGCTGTAGCATGTTTTATGAAAATGTAATTTATGGCAACTTCAGTCACTAAAAGTATTACTGGTATAAAAGCTGAAAGCTTAAAAAGTATTATTTCAAATTATATATATGTATGTGATTGAGTTTAAGTGTTTTAGATCAAACATCTGGTAGACATTTTAGACTAAACCTCATTTTCCTAAGTTTGCACTGTAAGGCACTTTCTACTTTTGTTCAGAAAAGTTTTATTTAAGAAATAAGTTAAAGGACAACATGGGTATTTTTGCATGGTTTAGGTTTTATGCATCTGTGATAGATAGATCAACAAAAAGTTAAAATAGGCCCATACTTGTGCAAAATCACATATGACAATCTAAGATGTAGCAAATGTACTTATGATACCTGATGCATTTTGAACAATTGACAAACTCCAGTTTTGCTGCCGATTGTACACACTCTTAAGCGAACAAGCATGTTGATGGAGAGATACACTTACACCATTCCAACTTATGACTCAAAGCTATAAATACAAGAGTTGGCCTCTGCCATCCCGAGACACAGTGTCCTTAATAGACTAATATGGACTCTTGGGCAGCTGGCAGAGTGTGCTAGACACTTCAGACCAGTCTTGTGATGACGATAGAGAATATAGGTGTCAAACAAACCTCAACCAGGTGTGAAAGGGAAGACTTTAAAAGAGTCACACAGGGATGACAAGAGAGAAAAGCTTGCAAATGTAATAATGAAGACACTTCACTGTGATTTAATGATGTTACTTTGAAACAGCCCTCACAGCCACACTACCAGGACACCTCCCACGACACACACATGGGATGTGTTTATCATTCTGTTAATTTATGATATGATGTATGTATAATGTAAGGTGTAAATAACACAACAATGTAAATTACAAATTGATAAACCCAATGATTCAGACACTGGGTGAAACTGACTCTTCTTCAAACACACCAAAGATCTGCTAAATCATGAGCATTGTTTAGTCTCTGCATTAGAGCAAAGAGCAGCGTAGCAAAGTGTTATTTATGTAAAACGGACTCTTTTTACCCCAACTGGGAATACAAACATCTTGTTATTAATCGTCGTCACTGACATGTCAATTGTTGAGCAATCAAAAAAACATATTATACATCAGATATTTGCTAATTCTTGTGATGCAGGGAACCAGGGCTGCTATTAGGTTTTGGCAGCAGACAAAAAACTATTACTGAAGAATGGAACCTGTCAGGAGCAATTAACTCAGTTTTTGACGAAGGAAACAAACTTATTTTAACATGTTTAGAGTCACATAATTTAAAACACATAAGCAAAAGCAGATATTCTACTTTTCTTCTATACTAAAGAACTGTCTTAAGGGTGAATAAATTTTATAAACTCTTTGCGGAAAATACCTAATAGAGCTTGGATTAAGGTCTATATTGTACCTTTGACAGCTGAAAAAAGTGTCACACTCAGTCATGTCACGACAGAGCTTCTATTCCAACAGACAGTATTAGCTCAGTCTTAAGAATAGACTTGTAGTCACTTTAAAAACTCATGCATGTTAACAGATTTCCAAATTTACATACTTCAACATATTTCTGTTTTGTTTCACAAATAAAAAGGAATAAGGTAAACAAAGCTTAAAGATAAAGAAACATGTTCATGAGGCTTAAAAATAAAGATAATATGAGCCAAGTCAAATTATTTATTGAGCATATTTAAAAACAAAGTTTGTGTGTATTTAAAGTGAAGAAGAAGTGATGACTTACTTTAAAACCTATTCTGGCTTTAATGTAGGACACACCTGTCAATCAGAGGCTTTAACGGAGTGTAAGGTGAAGGACAGTTTCAGAATAGATTCTGAAACATAAATTTTATTCTTTCTACTTTCCTCTTCCGCCACCTGACATCTCTGGCTAATTCTGCCTGTCAGATACTATTTTTTAAAACTTTGGCCAGATTTTACAGACTTATCTAATAAAACAACATGAGGGATTGTGAACGTAGCAAGAATTGCTTATAAGTGATACTGTCCTGGCTCCTGTCAGTCGTGTGTTTGTGAAAACACACCTAATATTTTATGAATCTGTTGAACAAATAATCACATGACATGGAGAAATGGCTGCAATATTTGAAATGGCCTTCTACTCCCATCTGCTCCTGAGGTAAGGATTTCTCATCCAGCGCCAAGCCTAATGTCAGGTGCAAAGCCTGACGAGAAAGTGTGATAGTCCAAGTGTCCAACAGGAACTCTGCTCAACACATGCTTTCTTTTCCTGCTCAACAAAGAACTCTACAAGCATGACACTACATCATGATGTGTGCAAATTATCCATTATTATCTCTTTAAAAAACCCTCCATTTCTTATTGTATTTTAAATTATGGCTTTCCAGAGAATGGTGATCACACTGTACACTGTAAACAACCCAGAGTACTTGAGAAATATAATATCAATAGTAAGTCAATATCAATAATATAAGGCATAAGAAGTAAATGATGTTTTAAAAAAAAAAAAACTTAGTTAGTATAAAATTTTCGTAAAACTCACCTCACCTCTCAATACACGTCCATAACTCCACAATCAACAAAACAACTATTGTTAATGACTGACAACAACTGACAATTATCAAAGACAGGTGTAATTCAGTGCTGTATCATTCATTTCACAAAAAAACATAATTATCTGACTGGGATTTTCTACGGTCTAAATGTGGGTCACGAACAGCTGATGTCAAAATCGGCTGAAATTAATGGATAACTGTTTCCTACCATGTACTTAAAAAAAACACATTGAAAACATGGCAGACCTTCAGCTTTAAAGTTAAATATGCATTAACACTGACAAACATCACAACCAATATGAGAGTTCAGCAAGTTCTTTTACACATTTCTGCAAATGTAAACCAAGTGGCCTAACAACACAGTATAAATTATGAAAATACTTTTGGCAAACTGTTTCAAAATTTTTCAGACAGCTCCAAAAAACGAACGCATTCTGATTTGACAGTCCAAGGCTGAGCCCCATTGTCCTCACTTTCACAAAGATCAAAAACAGGTCCGTAGTCATAACAAAAACGCCACATGGGTCTAATCAGTCCACAGAGCTTCATCGGAGGAAGTAACAAATTAGAGGAAGGATTCAAGTCCAGTGGACTCTACAGAAAAGCCCTGTACTGAGTCCAGAGAAACATCCAACAAAATATCCCACAGCGTCCAAACACACTGCAATTCCACAGACAACCATAAATCCTGCCTCTATGCAGAGCCCCAACACAGTACAGCTGTACAGACTTACTACCACATTCACTACACTACTACAGGCTTATATTGAAAAGCACACCTGGTGGTATTGGAAGAAACACACAAACCTTGAAAAGACAGGAAGCGGAGGTCCAAGTTACACCTCTGACACTACACTGCACTGCTTCTCTATAGTCTGACCTCTGCCCAGCAGCTGAAACTGACATATGTCTCTTCCCTTTAACATGACGACTAGTGCTAGCACATGTACACTAGCATAACATCACTGCTAGTGGTCTTTTGCCTATGTGAGTGACGCTGCTTCCCTGTCTTAACCGGACAGGCAGAAGAGACACATGTGATGAAAAGTCACAAGTGCTCAGCATGTGTGTGTGAGGACGGGGGTAGAGGAGGAGAGTAGAAAACAACTAAATATCTGATTACTACTGACCAACTACCACATCCATCTTTTGACTCACATAAAATATTAAATCAAATGTTCTGCCACTCCTTTCAAAACTATATAAAATTAATTTTCTTTAAAGAACACTGAAGAATATGCTACCTGCCAGCCATTAAGCCCATTTACTCTATGAGACAACATGGGTTATAATGGACTCTTAGAGATTTTCATTTTCAGTGTGCCTGGTGACTGGCAGACAGCTTCGAGCAATGGATTTTGCAGCTCTCTGGAACTGTTTATAATCTATAAATGGCCTCTTTTCTTCCTGTGAGATGCTCTGATATCACCAACTATGCTGCCAAAAGGAGAATAGTACCTTGGTGACTGGCACAAATTTATCTAAATATGAATAATAATAATAAACTGGCATTCCTCCTTGTAGGTTTAAATAACTACAGTAAAAAACTGATGTGACATCAAAGTGCAAATCCATTTTAAATTGAAAAATTTCCTCATTAGTTCAGACCTTGATGTGCTTCTAAAATGTCCTCACACAAACATATATATAGAGATAATATATGTATATATATTCAGTTCAATTCAATCTTTATTAAGGACAAAACTCATGGGGTATCCATGTGTGTGTGTGTGTGTGTGTGTGTGTGTGTGTGTGTATAATTAGCGATGCACTATGGTTGTTTTCTTGTTTTTGTTAGTATTATAGTGTTATATTTAGTATGCTTTCTTGTGTTTTTAATTATTTTAATGTCCTTTGTACAGCACTTTGGTCAGCTCAAGCTGTGTTTAAATGTGTTCTAGAAATAAAGTTGACTTGACGATTATTTACTATTACTAGTGAAGTGGAGTGAAGAAGTGGGGTGGGGGTGGGGGGGTGGCAGTCGGCACATCCACCGGTGGGACGGGGGCACTCAACACTGGGGAGATGGAATGTGTTTTTTGCTGTGCTTCTAAAATGTCAAATCATTATCAATATTTAGGACATCTTAAATCTAACTAAACAAAAAAAATTAAAACTGCTTGATGAAGCAGAAAAGATGTAAATGCAAACACAGTCAAACAAAAAAGGGTATTTATTAAGAGGAATTTAAAAAAATTAATTATTTAACAATATGCTGGCTTATTGTTAAATAATTTTTTTTTTTTAAATTGACTCTTCTGTGCGAATGACTACACAAGATACTTTTTGAATGTTCAACAACATTTAAAATAGTAGTGCAAGTAAAATCCTTAAAAAAAACAGGGGAATAATTTTAAATATCACAGGTGATGCATTAGAAGCTGGAGCTATAAAATGGTTATTATGGTTATATTTTTGTACAAACACATTTCTTTTATTTCTTATGCAATGATATGAACATATGCAGAGCTGTTTCTGCTTTTTCCAAAGGATGCTGACAGACGGAGGACAGCAAGTTTGAGACACGCTGCAACAACAGTACCTACTTGTTTTTGTGTTCCTAACATTATATTATATATATTATAATAATATTCTTTATTATATTCAGTTTTATAGTTTTTATATGAAAATATAATAATGTAATATGTTTGCATAAATGTGTCATTAATTTCTTCCCTGTTTTAACTTTAATTTTATAAAAGTACTGATAGGATTTCTATTATATGTTCTATTACCTTTTTCTTCTCATTATCTCCCCTCTCTAAACAGTGCCATTGCAGACAACAATAAAAAAAAGTATACACTGTAAAACAGTACCACACAATAAAATAATCTTACAGCATAATATATATAAGTCTACAACTTCATCTACTGTATCTATTATTTTTCTTTTCTGCCTTCTTCTATAGAGCTCTATCTGTAGATTTTTAGCAGCTGTAAATGAGTGCTTTATCTAAGCACACAAGAATTTAATTTTCAAAGAGGCATCACACTGACAGATTTACTGTCAGTCCATCTGTTAGCGTCACACCCAGACAGGAAAGAGTGAAAAAAGTCACTTTTTATCCTGTACCGCGACCATATGTGCTATATGATCATCAAAAGGGATATCATCTGAGTATGTCCTCCTTCATCTTCCTCTTCTTATCATAATCATTCTTTTTCTTCTTATCATTATTATTGCTATCATCATCTTCATCATCATTATTATCATCAGCATTATTATGCCCACTAATGCAGTGAACTAATTTAAACATAGAGAAAGGTGTACGGTTACATCAATAACGACAACCATCAGGCCCAATTTTATGCTCCAATACTAATACTAATGTAGAAACTTGTATGACCAGCATCATCATTATAATTATAATTATTAAACAATTATGTACGCCAGGGTATATTTTTATAAATACATTTCTGACATTGAGACCAATAAGATATCTTTTTTATCTAAATGCAATGAATAATACTGTTTGTTACTGTACCATGCAATCCTTTTTTGACATATATATATACATATATATATTTTTTAGTTTGTGCTTAGTTTTTTAATTTCACTTGAGAAATTAACAGGTCCTAACAGTTGTTTAAGCTTTTGTAGCAGAAATGTTTTGTGATGCTGGATGCTCTGTTTTAGCACCATCCTCGTTGGGTGAGCAACTGTAAATGCAAGTAGTGTAGGTGGTGGTTAGTGCTCGTGGGAGTTTTTGTTTCAAAACTACAGCTGGAAATAGAGCTTTGAAAATCTGAAATCTTAGATGCAGAAAAGTAACTCGTAAAACCTAAAACCAAAAAGCTCTCAACTTCTTCCTACTTTCTTTCTATGAAGCTGTAGAAACTTCCCTTTAAGTGACACACACACACACACACACACACACACACACACACACACACACACACACACACACGTCTTATGAAACACTTTTTCCATGGCCCACTAGGTGGTGCCATATGCTGCCATAACTGGCCCCAGGAGGTCTGACAGGGATGTGTTGGCTTGCCGTATGAGGGCACTGTATTCATTTTAATCAGCAGGTCCTATTCCAACCTGCTAGAATGGGAGTCACAATGTTTACATTAGCAGAGAGTTATTGTCATACAGTGACTCATAATGTAATGTCACTTTTGGAATAAGATGAAAGTGCTTGAGAAATACTTTGAATTGAATTCCTTATACAGAGTTGACAAAACCCTGATTAAACCGCCATACAGACAGACAACAAATGCTCACAAGCAAATGTGGACACTTTCATTAATACACAGAGACAAATGGACATATGCATGAACTTCAGAATATGTGACTCAAGGCACTAATCAGAAGGAGACCATGTAACCCTTACTCTTCCCAATATGGCATAAACTGTTATTGACATGCCAGAGCCTTAATTTAACTTTTCAACAAATCAGACACGTAGCTGTGACCTGCAAAGTCAACACATAGCCACCATCATGCCATGAGAGACGCTTGCATGGGGCGAGGTATGGGTGAGGATGCAGGGTCAGCTTGCTTTACTCCACATTTGGCACAGTTGCAGGGGGGGAGTGGTTCCTGATTTATGGCACCCTAGCAATGGGTGAGGTATCCTGGCCACAGAGACATAGGGTCTGGCCTCATCACGACCCCCATTAGACTGGCCTGTCCACAGTAATGCATCACTTTGATTCATACAGTGTTTCTCTGATGATGCTTGTAAAATGGTCGGATTTATACTGTGGATCAGTCACGGGTTTTATGAAGTGATATCACAAGGTAAACGAAAGTTTGTGAGGTAACTAGAACCGCATGTACCCGGCTTTGGCCATTCACTGTCAAATAAACCTGTAAGTGCACATGCCTGACATTAAGTCACTGCTTGAGTCACGCACAAGCACACGTTCAGCCAAGAGACGTGCAACTAAACCCCGAGAGGTTTATGCTAGAGAAACATTTCTCCCCACATCTCTCTAATGGTAGCTGTAGATGATCTTGTTTCACCCATTGAGATGGTGTAACATGGGATACTGGGGTCAAAGAGAAACATACAGGTCAAAAGAAACCTTCTGACTTGACAGCTGCCTCCCAACTGTGGAGCGAGCAATCCTTCAAAAATGTCCCCTAGCAGGAAAACTGCAATTAGTCGTTAAGGTTCTGCTGACATAGTGCCCACTTTAGGACTTGAGAGTGACAGCTGCTTCAGTCATTTGCTAAGAAATAAAATATCATAGGAACCTTGAAAGATGAAAAGAAGAAAGACTCAAGAAACTGCATGATGCACTTTTCTAAAGTAAACTAGCAAAGCCTTCAAATGTAAACCATAAATTCCAACACTACCATTTTTCTGACAGATTATCAACACTTGCCTATCTTTTCTTATCAGGTGTTCTGTGGTCAGCTTTGATGAGAGAGTGCTGACAAGAGCTTAGAAAAGCCCCTCAGTTACCTGGGATCCGCTGACATTGAGTGTCAAAATGGGTGCTGAGAGCTCGGGGCCAGGTGACTGAATCTCTGAACAGCTTGCTTGGACTTAGGACAGAGTGACATCAGAGATCCATCTGGCTTGTCAAAGTTGCTGCGGGCAAAAAGAAGGATGGCGACTGCACAAGCTGCAGGGAAAGTCTAAACTTACAGCAGCTATAGCTCCTGTTACAAAAAAGGTCCTTGTCCGTTAAAAAACTGAGGGAGAGTGAACTACATTAGTGGGAGTATTACATGGTGAGCCCAAATCAGGTAAAAAAAAAAAACAGAAAGAAAGATTCTTTTCGTTAGCATGTTAGTGTCGTTTAAGTTGGATTGCAGAAATATTTGTGAGGCAGGAATTAAAGCAGAGGAAGCGTCACAAGACTCAGAGGTGAAGTAATATGAGGAGTGGGTGAGGATTGTATTGGCTTTGACGACTGAGCCCGAGCAGCCATTTTTCCTGCTGCTCTGAAATAGTTATTTATAGCTGCTGCCTGGGTGTAGACAGTAAATTTCTTTTTCACTGGCAATGCTGCTGCTGTGCTGCCTGGTGACACATGAAGAGTCTATCATTTTTCTTCATGAAATTCTGCAGTTCCAAATATAAACATATAAATGAAGCATTATGGACCACAGCCTCACTATTCATGAGTAGCTGCAGTAAGGAACACCTAAAATGAGTCTTCCCCAACAGTGGTCAGCAACATCGGAGCTATATTGGTGTACATGGTGACGTAGCAATGATTACCACAACCCCTCCTTCAGTCCTTCTGTCCTTCCTTCCTTTCAGTATCACCCTCTCACCCTCTCTCTCTCTC